ATAAGATAATAAGTACTTTTGTAAAACATTGGAAACCCTTGATGGACCTTCATAGAAGTGGTAAGTGGTTTCTGGATTTGCGAAATGAACTGTGTATTGTAATCTTAAAGGTAGTAGAGGGATACTTATTTTGTTTGTAACTGCTGCAAAGCATATAGGAAGTCACTTCTTTAAATATCTTTTTCCTTCTTTCTTTTTTAGTTTCTGCACTTTTCCTCTATCTTTCATTCTTTCTTAATCTCATTTTCTACATTTTTTCATGTTTATGTTTTAATGTGTAAAAATCTCTAATAAAAGATAGATAGATAGATAGATAGATAGATAGATAGATAGATAGATGAAAGATAGATAGATAGATAGATAGATAGATAGATAGATAGATAGATAGATGATAGATATAGAATAGACCTTCATGTCATCATCCTCTGTCATAATTTGAATTAGAATCCAGAGCGTCTTATTTTCGAAGGACAACTGTACAATATGTTGCATAGAGAGCAACAAAATTCTTCTGAGTATTAAGTAACAGTAATTATGCTGAAGTTGAACCTCCCAATCCATAATAGCAAAATATATCATAGAACGGGGCAACAACATGCCATCCTTAATGTTATAATAAAGCACTATAAAATTGAGACATTCTAAATTTTCATTACTTAAAAACTGACAAATTTAGTGTATGTGTGTGTTTATAATTGAGCCTGCAAATTAATCTGATAGAGTTATTTTTTGCTGTTCTTGTTCAATAGTTATAGCTCATGGCTTCACTGAGTTACGCAAGCCCCTTCGCCACGACAAGGCAGTGATCCATGAACGGGAGAGTTATATTTAGTGATATATATTATATATATTAATATATATAATATTATTGAGCCTGCAAATTAGTCCTGCCCTCAACATTAAAATAATACAGACCCTTGGGCAATGACCTCAGGAGAGTTTGTTGTTGTTGTTTATTGTTTTGTTTTTGAATCCATAACACAGTGGCTATTTTGTTCTGT